GTGTAACATCGACATCATCTGAAGCTAATTCCAGTAATAACACGCTACAAATATAGAAACTAACCGTTATATTTGTATAATTTACTATGACCTCAAATGCGAAAATCTAAAGTTATTCTTACGAGGACCTTGCGGCAGTGACGTACGACGCCGTAGTAAACGCTGCACATAAATTAGCAAGCGCCAATAAATATAACAAACTATAAATAATATAAAAATGTAACAATCGTTTTGTGCATTATGTTGTGTACACTTAATACTACGCCGTAGCCTGCTACGACGAACTACTACAATCGCTACGCCTACTTTCTACGACGGGCGCTACGCGGACCTCGTAGTCGCTACGTGGACCTTGCTACGAAAATGTTACGGGTTCAACATTTTAAATGTGCTTTGAGGAAAGATAGATCTTTTATGTATTAACATTTTTTTCTATTCTCAAATATTCGAAGATTACCAAAGAGTAAAAGTAATGATCATAAAAAAATACGTGACTCTTGTCTTTCTTCAGGATTTTCTTTCGATGAAAACGCTAACAGTTATAAAGATTTTGGTTAGTTATATTTTGATATTTTGAGTAGTGTGTTCATTACAGAAGTACATGTAAATCATAGACATGTGATTGTTGATTTAAAAGCTGGCGGAATACTTCCTGACATGTACCCGTATAATATAAGAATATTGTAGATATTTTAAATGTTGAGTTACTTCAATATTTATTTCTTTTTGTTATTGTTGTTCATCATTTTATTATATTTTTGTACCTGACATTCTTTTTCGTCAATATTATATTGTATTTTGAGACATGATTTACCTTGGCTTCAAAAAAATGTAATTTTAGTTACTTGTCCATTATAGCGATGATATAAGTAAGTCGATACTAAATGTCATATAAATATAGTACATACGAAAAATACTTATGTGTCGTAACAAAGCATAATAAAACTATTTTTTTTATTTATTTACACTTCTTGCAATTGCATTGGCGGACTAAATAACTACTTTGTTTTCTGTTCTTCGTAAATATCATTAGGTAACATATTTAGCAATTTCTCAATTTTCAGTAAAACAATAAATGTTAAGTTAATATGTATTTAAAACAATAGTTAAAGCAACTACTGAGAAATGCCTGTCCCTAATTAGATAGAGTTTAAGGTCTGCTTTAGAGACGCAACAAAGTACCAATGTGACTATTTCCGTATAAAATTTAGATACGGTACTTACATATGCGTACATGGGATGAAGCAAGTCATTCTGAATAAACTTCTAATAATAATAAGGTTGTAATTTAGATTACCTACTCTACTCTAATTATGAGAACTCTGGGTATGAGAAACTAGCTTTTACCCGCGACTTCGCTCGCGTCACAAAAGGATAAAAAGTAGCCTATGTGACATATACCAATACACACAGCGTCATCTATACCAATAATTTCGTTTTCCCTCAAGAATATAAAATTTTTCGGGGATAAAAAGTACCCTATCATATAATCCAGACTTCTAACTTTACGTCTGCAAAAATTCAAAGCAATCGGTTTAGTAGTTATGGCGTGAAAGCGGAACAAACAAACAAACTCACTTTCCGATTTATAATATTATTAGTAAGGATAGTAAGGATTTGACTACAATAACGCTCGGCTTGTGTTTTATTGTATTTATTAGGAAAACCAACAGCGTTACTGCGTTACATATAATTTACAATAGGTTACGTGAATTACAGAGATGCTAAAGATAAGTTTCCCTTATTTCCTACATTTCGTTCGGATTTAATAAAAATTTAGAACTTACAGTCCGAGGTTCGTAAATAAATATCTATACTGACATTAAACGTTACACCGTAATACAGACTATTACGATCCTTAAAAAATAATTATTGAGAAGGTGTTCAGTGGTGTAGATCATATACAATTCATCGTACACATTATTGAAATCTCACAAACGGATAATAATTTTACGTGTTTTCAAACGAAATGTGTTAAAGTGCTAGCTGAATTAACAGATATTGTTTGTCAGTTTAATAAAATATTTAGGTATATACATTATTTAGGTATGTGTCCTCTTAGTAATATTTTAGGAGGTAGTTTCGGAAAACTGGTTAACGTGTTGATTATCATTGTATTGTATTTCTATTGTTGATTTACCGCAATGTGTGCTTTGCGGTAAACTAAACTACTAAACAAATTCTACTATTAATATTGTAGACACGTATTGATTATTATTTTAGTACAATAATAAAAATTTCAAAGTCATTTACTTCAATTAGACCAGAAAGGCATTTTTGAAAGTCGACAAAACAAACTAGAAGATAAGCTATTTGCTCATTTAAAAGTGTAGATTCCTATGGAGAAGAATGAGCAATACACTACATAGGTTACTCGTTTTCAATCAGGTTCACAATACAATTTAATATGGTTATAACAACAATTATTTTCTATATTTCCCGCTAGGTGGACCGACGACGTTGTCAGAGTCGCGGGCAGCCAATGGATGCAAGTGGCGAGTTGTCGTTCGACGCGGAAGATTATGGGGGAACCCTTTGTTCAGCGCTGGACATCTTCCGGCAGATTATTATGAGGATAGTGATTATTTTTTTTACAATGATCAGTGCCAATAAAGTTTACTTGTCCGCCTCATAGTAAGCAGTCATAATTGCCTAAGTAAACATAGGTACATAATTATGACTTCTGATCTTGTATTAGAATATTTTGTTTTCTGTACTTTTTCGGTAGAACATTAACTTGTTTAGGCTCGATGAATGTTTTTAAGCACACCACTGATAGGTATTCGTTACGTAAGAAGGATCTGTTTGCAGGATGTTCTATATCTTTATCAAAAATGAATTTACTAGGAAAGGAGTCAACTATCTATCCAGTTCTTGCTCCATTTCCTACAATTCTACTAGCAGTTGATAAAGTTAAAGACATCGTTTTTTTATATGAAACGTTATAATTGACACAATATTTTTATAGAAAATTTCTTTAACTACCATTTACTTAACTTGTCGAACTTGCTTTTACTAAATACAGTTTAGAAATTAAAATTGTCATTGCAATAAGCAAGACTTGAAGACTAATAGAAGTTAAGATTTAATTAATTAATAGTGAGTTAGTTCATAATAATAGAGAACCGCTTAATGAATTGGTTAGTTAAATTAATAAATAATGTTATATCGAAGTTAGAGAATTGTTAAGGTAACAATCAGCAAATTGATAAACAACTTGGACTATTCGCGTGTAAAAGATATTTAAAAATTTTTGGTCGAGTTACTGAGTGAAGCTTTAGTTTTTTACAATAAGACTGATAGTAACGTCACTTGTTTGACTAAATCTTTCCTTTTACATACACTTAATAGGTAACCGAACCTATGAAAACTAGCGAACTATGTGTCCAAAAAATGCAATTATATTTTCCAACTTTGCATGACAATCATTTTCATCATTTTTGATCATCATCAAAATATTAAATATCGTGGAATTGCCTCTAAACCCGATCTCTTCATTTAGAAGCTTCACATTCAACGTGTTTACTCGGAGCATGACTATTGTAATTGTGATAACGTAACATTGACAACAATCGAATTACATAATAGACTATTTGACTTAATTAAACACATCTCTAACTAGTGAATTATTGTTGGAAATGTAACAACGATTACGCGGAGTTGGGCGGAGTAGATGTAGAATGTATCCGACGCCGTTTCTCTTTGCCCAATCCCGTTGGGACGTGTCGTGAAGAGGTGGAGATCGATACGCTACACGAGCCACGAGCTACGCACCCAGAGATGTTGAATTACAACTTCTGTTACATTACTACACTAGCTTTCAAATTATTCTTACAGTATCGATAACTTTCGTACAATTTATCCATCTACTATATTATTATCACGGACTGTAAAATGTGGTTAGTTTGGTCACTACTTAATGTTAGTTAACAATGCATAGTGACGCGACGTACCGGTCGATATTACGAGGAAAAGATCTAACAGGAACATTTTGTGATTTAATTATTATTAAGTTATGTAGGAAGTATATAAGTAGGGTATAGGTTGTACATATCCGCGTCCAAATATTTTTCTGTGGTTTTACGCAACTTAGGCTGTAGGTACCTGTCCGAAAACTAAATATCCACAATGTACTGCTACGAACGTAGCCTGTAAGTTTGATCTCGTCATAAGGTGTTTCACGTGCCGCGGCCGCCTAGCATGCAACGAACACAACTGTACCAGACTTGTAGTGAAAGCTTCAACAATGTAATAATCAAGAAGAAAGCGTTCATCGATTTTTAGTTGGACGTAATATTTCAATAAAGCAACTCCAGGGGACCAAAACAAAATGCGCAAAAACAAGATGTCTTCTCATCTCGGAGGTAATTAACAAGTGAGTGTCGGGTAGAGGACACAGCACACACCCTGCGACTAATGGTCACTTACCACCTCACATAGCATGGGGACACGCTCGCATCGTGTTGCTTAGCCTAGGGATACACGAGCGGGGGATGCAGCGCCGCGCCCCGCCCCGCGCCACCGCTATGAAAAAACCTCTTACAAAACAGATCGATCGATATGCTCCCGAATGCTTACTCGCTTTGCCACCGTCACCCTCAGCTTTCAGCTGGTTTGCTGGCTCCCCACCATATCCCTCCCCAGAACTTACAACCGCGGCAGCCTACAGGGGGCGCCACGCGTGGAGCACGACCAGCTAATGGGGGGAGCCACATGCGCGATGCGCCATCTTACGTCCTTGAAATTTCAAGTGCAAGGCGATACAGGGCTGGCACGCGACGTGTGCACGTGAACTCGTGCGAGGATAGTCCGGGAGCGAGGCCGGGCGGGCGCTGGGCGCCGGGCGCCGGGGCGGTATCGATCGGGGCGGGCGGCCGGGCCGGGGCGGACACGCCCGGGGCCAGTCGCGGGCTCCGGGTTGCATAACGCGCTGGTCGTGCCGGCGGCGGCCGCGCGCCGAGCCGGTATCGACGCGCACGGGGCGCATGCGCGACGCGTACCTTCGCAGCCGTAGCCCTGCCCGATGAGGCCCCACAGCAGGTCCGAGCAGTGGTGGCAGTACGTCGGCTTGTGGAAGGTCTTCTTCGCGAAGGAGTGGGTGCGATGGGGCGCGGGCGCGGCCTGCGCCATGGCGGGCGCGCG